TAACTTAACCTATAACCTAACTAACAACGGTTAACTAACTAACTATACTATATATATATATATATATATATATATATATATATATATATATTTATATATATATATACATACATGTGTATATCTATTTGGATATATATTCTACTAGTGTAACAGTATGTATTCGTTGCACAAGACATACGTCTAACATAAGCACCTGCACAAGGGACTTGTTTGCGCACAGTCGTATTGTATACCCAGAGTCCAGAAATAGCACACTATATGTCCAACCCTTGACTGGGACAGCCCGATCTATCATAATATGAATGTTACTGATAGGTGCGGCATGGTACACGCAAAGATGGACGGTCTGTTGCGAGAAATCAAATCATGATGTTGTGTATACTACCTGGGACCAAAAAACAGTATCTTCGCACATCGAGACTGTTATTACAACAACCATGAACAAGACTGGTCATTTCTGGGTTGAACATGTTTTCTTCATTTTTTAGGAGGATATAGTGTACAAAACACATGTGCACGATTTTATATGAAATTCTGTATAAAAAAATATTAATGAAAAACTCTTTGGCATAATTTGCCGGTTAATTTTTTTGTAGTCAGAAATATGTACATAGAATGTGGCGTCTGCAGTCGCCAGGCCGCCAGCTATATATTTTTAACAGTGTTAAATATTTGTTGCTTGCGTGTGTGAATACTTATTTATGTATGAGCATGAACAACTCACAAAGCTACACAGTGTGCCTTCTCTCACTCTATCCAGGCTACTACACTGGCGTATCGTATTACAATACCAACAACGTGGTGCTATCTGGCCGTGCGGCCTTGGTGTGTCTTTGGTGTTAGTCAGGGAGCACAGTTCAGCAGTTAAGATTGCATCCTTGTATAGGCTGAAAACACAAGCCCCAGTCGTCGATAGTTTAGAATGGAGACACCTCTTGGCGTTGCCATTAGAAATGATGGCTGGGAAGAGTATCCTGACTTGGGATCAGACTATGACGACGTCCCAAGTGATGTAGAACAAGCGCTGCTGCAACAGTTTCACTACGCATCTACCATACGTGTGCAATCCACACATCTGCCTGTCATTGAGCCATCGCGAACAGATGCTGTGTCGTGTGGCGATGGTGGCACACGAGGATCTATGACTAGCGTTGTTGATAGTAAAATGTATGATGCACATAGTAGTATGCGGGAGATACCTGCCTTAACAAATGGTATAAACGAGGTGAAGTCCTACATATGCATATCGAGCGACGAGGACGATGTCAGCAAGTTCGATGTGATAGATATAGATGCAGACGACGATGATCTAGAAGGTACGGGGAAGGGTAACAACAGACGCAAGCTCGATCGTCTCAAAGGCAAGGATGAAATGTTCAGAAATGTGGTGACACGCGCTGCGGTATTGGACAGCGATAGCGATGATGAACACGTGATAGAAGGAGGTGCACTGCAAGAACGCACTGAGCAACCATTGCAGGATAGTATTATTGGTACAAGCAGTGCCAAAGCAACTGAGTTTCACATTGCTAGTTCTACTGAAAATAGCGTGGTTGATGCTGGTAGCAGTCTGACACAGGTGCACGTTCTAGAGGTGACCCAAGTGAGTGGGAATGGCAGGTATGTGGTTGCCTATGTGCAAGTGTGTGCACTTATAGAAAGCAAGTCGTATCAATAGCAGGTTGTGTTTGTAGCTATAGACTGTGTGGATACACGGAGTTTCACAAAAGTGTGTGAATCCGGTCTGCTTTGAAATCTGTAATTGGTGGTATGCATGCCCGTGTGCTTAAGTATCATAGGTATATTATGATTTCAACCAAGTCTGGTCGTTGTTCGAAGTATCGCACTGCATCCTCTAATGATATGGTAACACGCACTCCGCAGGCCCAGCTTTGACATACCGACTATGATAGACACTGTGTTCAGCTCAGACCCAACCGATGAGACTGTTGGAACGTCCCTGCGAAGCTTTCTGGTATGTTGTGCAGCTTTGGTTGCGCTATCAAGTTACCATAGTATATGTGTCGTATTCTGTGGTATGTCAGACAACAGGTGTACTGATTTCTCAAGTCAGTCTACCTGACCTATCCCCTTGGCAGCCATTCATACACTGGTTCCTACATCTGTGGCGTGGTGCAATGTGAGTTTTGTCGTCGCGGCGGGTGCGTTCGCACTCGCGTGACTCTGATATGTTGTACTACGCTTGATTGCGCACCACATTTGTCGTATTTCGTAATCTCGGGAGAGAGAGTACATATCCATAGTATAGTGGGGTGAAAGGGATTAGAGTAGGAATAAGCGCTGTTCTACGTGGGTTTGTGTGATCATGAAAGTGTCACACTCGCTAGTCTGTCGTACGAGTTTTCATATCTCTGAATGCTCGGGTTCAACGTGAAGGGACATGTCTTGCTTGGCCGTGACTATTCGTAGTATAACGCACGGATGAAATGCCGTGCTGGTACTTTACATCGGACTATGTCTCCCAGAATCATTTAGTCTTTTCACTTGGCATAGTAGGTGTTATCCTTACAAGCATACCGGAAGTGTATGTATATCTTGGGTTGAACCCAAGATACCATACCTTGGGTTATCGGACGTGCGTACTGCTGTGAACAGGCGCCATTGCAAAACTGTCGTCGAAGAGTTTTCGTATTAGCCGCTTTCGGATACTGTATACGGCGCTCTCTGAACTGTGTGCAAGTACGCATACCAATAGATAGTTGTAGGAAGATTGCTTAACCAAAGCAGCAGAAAGGATATCACGTGATATGCTCGATACTGTTATCAATAGGAATATGGTGATGATGCCAATAGGGTTTGGTGTGTGAGTGTTCTCTTAGTCAAAATGTAGAAAGCTATATCTCAGGGAATTCGTACTTACAGATCATATATATATATATGTATATATATATATATATAATAATATATATATTATATATATATATATATATATATATATATTATATTATATATATATATATATATTTAGATATATATATTTGTACATATATATATCTGCGTACAACCATACCCAAGCGATAACATACCAACATACACTCGTTTCAGCTTGACAACAAATCGACAGGCGTTGGCGCTACTCAGGGCCTTGACGATTGGAACGTCGAGGCCGACGCAGCTGCGACTACAAACCTCCGCGAGCGCTATTGGGCTGACCCCGACGCACCCGCCACAACAATGAACAAATGGCAACAGAACCGCATGGTTTTTGAGCAGTGCTTTGTGTGCCGCGAGGGTGGTCACATGGGCCGAGATTGTCCTAACCGTGAGGTGTGCAAGTGTGTGTGTGCGGGGGGGTGGGGCGGTGGACTCGGATTTGTAGGGGGTCATATACCATAGGGTCTCTCGTACTGGACTGTGATTGTGTAGTGGTGTCGCCAGACACACGGAACATTGGCATGGTATTGCCTGGAAGGAGTGTGGGGTTGGTTTCATGTTGTACTAAGTACAGTGGAGGGCTACGGTTGTTTGCCATGAGATATTCGATTGCCACCGTGCCGCTTGTCCTGTGCTGTTATTATGTGTGCGTGCACATGTGGACGGATGCTTCCGATACACACGAGTATGCTTTATCATATATATCCGTCTGTGTCAGTGGGTGTGTCTTCATACCACTGCGCGTCGTATGTGTCGGGTGTATGTATTTGCATGTGTTGTATGCACATCAGCCGCCGCACGTGCTTGTGCACATGTATCGGCTAAAGCGTGTGTGAGCGTTGTCGCCACAATACGTGTGAGCTGACATCGTCACCTCTTTCCATATTTTATATACTGCAGAGCGCTATTTGCGATGCGTGTGGATTTGTGGGGCACCGGACGTGGTGTTGTCCGATAGAAGTGTGCAGTCGATGTCAGCAATTCGGGCATAACAGACGGGTGTGTGTAGGGAAACAACAACGCGTGAGCACTGGATGTATTCCTTTCCTTGCATTTTGGCATAGAGTCCACGTTTCCCGTACACTTCGATAGGGATGTCAGGCGTGAGCTATGAGAACTTTGAGATTACTTGTGTTTATAAATCATACATATTCCGAATTGGTCTATATCGTATTGTCATTGTTTGATGCCGAGATCTATATGAATATATATCGTATTGTCATTGTTTGATGCCGAGATCTATATGAATACTCGCACTGTGCCGATGACTGTGCACTGGAAGTGACACATATACACAACAACATGCACATGCATGTATATACGTATATACGTAATCGCTTATATATATATATATATATACATGCATGTATACACGTATATACGTAATCGCATACATATATATATATATATATGTACATATATCTATATATAAATATAAATATATCTATATCTATATATATATA